TTTTCAACCATCTCCCATGCTTTCTTCACTGCCTTGCTAACTTGATTAGTCAAGTGCTCTATGTATTGTTGCCTCCCTAAACTTTCTGCCTTCCATATCATATGAGCATCTCTTTCTGAATCACATGTGAAGATCCAATCTTTTTCCCTTCTATGCCACTCATCTATCATTGCTGAAATATGACTTTTGTGGTCTTGCAGTTGTAGCTCTAACCCTTGGATCACCTGGTGAAGCGATTCTTTTTCATTCAATACTTCGAAGTGCTTTTTTCTCTCTTCTACGAGCATGACTTTTAATCTTTTCTTTTCATTTTGGCATTCCACCAATCTTGCTGAGGTTGTAGAGTATAATTCCTTCCAATTCTGACATTCTTGAGAAATTCTGGTGGTCTCCTCTTGCTTTTCTTGAGCTTTGCCCTTCCATTGGTTTATTCCCTCTTGAAGCTCATCCATTTCACGTTGTCGACCAAGGTAAGACTTGGTAACTTTTTCAGTTTTGAATTTAACTCGTAACCTCTTATTTTCTTAATGTAGATCTTTCAAGTCACTATTAGCCAAATTTAGCTCTTTTATGACTTTTTCTAATCTGTTCCCTTGTACCTCTGCTTTATATTTTAATTACTCTACTTTCTTGTGAAGTCTCAAATTTTCTCTTCTTATTTCTTCTTTTTCAGCTTCTAATTCTTTCTTGATAAGCTCAACTTCTGATAATTGCACCTCTTCTGAAAGATTAACCAATTGATATGAGCTATCATCAGGAGGGAATATTATGTCTCTAGGTCGCATTGCTTTCCAAATTTGGTAGTCAGAAGTAACTTTGTCGATGAGAGGCCTTAACCTCATTCTTTGTGTTATTTTCCATGCTTGGATCAACTGCTCCGAGGTTCTTAATGGATTCGATTTCCCATAAATGAATTCTACTTGGACCAGGCCATGAGTAGCAGGAACAAACTGTTTTGCACCAAATTGCCTAAGTGCCATCAATGGAGCGTAACTTACAACGCCCCATAGCCCTAATAACGGAATCCATGGCTCATTTCCTCCACGATACAACAAGGGCACACGAGGCATCCAAGGCGCCATCCATTCGATTTCATCCCCAGTAATCCTTCGCAAGAAAAGGACCCATTCTTCCTTAGTCTTTAATGTCGGCCATTGGCTTTTGCAAAACTCTTCGAGTGGTGCCTTATTTCGAAGATATGGTTTCAAAAATGCACTCTTCCCACATTTGAAATGACTTCTGACCCATACGTATAATAGAGATGCACATCCTATGAATCGACCTTTCCCATTTCGTCGACAGAAATTCAATGACCTGATGGTTTCGGCTAGGACTGCTGGAGCGGGATTAATTGTTTGGGTTTTAATTTGCTCGAAAAAGTCTACCACAGTTATCTCAATGTAACCCAAAGTCTTCGGAAAGATTACCATGCCATACAATGCTAGAGCAAACACATCCATACCTTGATCATTATCCAAATGCTCCTGAATGAAATTTCAGAGAAAAGTCCCAACGAATGCCGAGATGTTCACCTTTAGACTTCACAAAGGAATCAATGGTTTCTACTTTAACCTCCATAAGCTTGGCTAACTTTTTGCGATAACCTGATTTTGGCTTTCGGGTAAATACTTTATCTGGACATTGTAGTTCTATCCCGAGCAAAATCGAATACTCCTCGATGGTTGGCACCAAATCTTCTTGATTAAAAGTGAAGCATCTATAGGATGGATCCCAAAACTGTATAGCTGCTTTGACCAGCTGTTCATCAACCACTACTGAAATGAGGGATGCAATCTGCCCATACTTTTTGCAAAAGCTTTCTTTTCTTCCCTCACTTAACTGACCCCAGACAGCAGCTAACTCTTTTAAATCATTCTGTGTGAGATCTAAATGCACTTTCTCGGGTAACTCAGACACATAACTGGTAGGCAAACAATCTCCGTTCTTTTGTTGAGCCTCTTTCGACCAAACATGTACTTCATTATACGACTCACATGGCACACTGACTGAGGATGAGCAAATCTGTAGTTCTATGGGATCCATGAAAACTTCTTGGGAGAAATGTCCTAGAGCAAATATCTCGATGCAAAACTGTATGATATGATTAATGTAACAAAATTGAGTTAGTGTGAGGATGTGATAAAAAAACATTTTTTTTGTTTTGTTTTTGTGTTTTGAGATTTTTTTTTTGTTTTGTATTATACTATACCCAACTTTTATTCTTAGGTATTTTACTACAAGATGATGGACAAGGCTCTACATAAGGCTGGTTTCCTAGGCTTATTATATGCTGGGTTTGGATTGACAGGGTCTAAAGGTTCCCAAATTGTTCCTCACTGTCGTCCATGTTGGACTAGTAAAGCACCCCGATCCTCACCCATTACAGGCTACGAAAGGAAAGGGTTCAATTCGAGTGGAAGTATTTCGGTTGTCATTGCGAAGGTTATTTCCTCACGAGAGCATAGGTACTTTACTTCCTCCTATAAAGGATGGAGCCCGGGTATAGAGCTCATGTATGAGATGCATCATGCCATTGTGTGCAAATATATCCTAATTTATTGAGAGCAATATATACAAAAAAATAATAAAACATAAGAGGCATAGTAAAAGAAATATGTGTGAATTTTTTTGCTTTTTATTTTTTAATTTGTTTTGTTTTTTTTTTACTAAAAATGAAGAATTTGATTAAGACTATTTAAATCAAAATTTGAGGATAACAAGTAGTTAATTTTGGCCTGACTCTTAAAGACAAAAGGCTAGTTCCCAACAGAGTCGCCAATCTGTCGTAACGGTTTTGTGTCCGCCCAACGAATTTGGAAACGAAATAAAAAAAATGGAGTCGCCACCAATCTTTTTTTGGCTAGGTGCGATTGGCCACCTACTAAAACATATCCTTTTAATAAAGTTTTAAAATTAATTAATTTATTAAAAAGATAATTTTACGATCTGCGAAACAGTCTGAGTTCGGGAGTCGGTTACGTGTGGGAAAGGATTAGCACCCCCACAACGCCCGTTAAAAACGGTACCAATTAACTACATGTTATCCTTTGATTTTGATAAAAATAGTCCAATTTTCGGTGTTCGAAAAAAAAATAATTTTCTTGATCTTTATTATTTATTAGGAAAAAAAATTATTCTTGAGAAAAATAAATCAAAACTTTTTTATTGAAATAATTCTTAAAATATTCCAGTACGTTGGTAACATTAAAAGAACTCTTTCTCACCTAGAGATTTTTTAAAGCATATCTACTCGGAATATTTTTAGAATCTCATCTTAGGATGCTCGAATTTATTTTTCGTAAGAAATTATCATGTTTAAAAAAAATTATTCTCGAGAAAAATAAATTAAAACCTTTTTATTGAAATAATTCTTAAAATGTTCCAGTACGTTGGTAACATTAAAAGAACTTTTTCTCACCTAATGATTTCTTAGGCATCGCTTCTCGGAATACCTTAGAATCTTATCCTCGGAGGTCTAAATTTACTTTTCGTAAAAAATTATGTCATGTATACAATGCAAATAATAATATGTTGATGCACACATTTTATTCTTTTTCAAAAATTTTATTAATTGTTTTATTAATTTTTAATTTTAATTGAAATTTTGAAGAAAAAAAATTTAATCATATTGAAGATTTTCTATAAATATTCCAATACGCTGGTAATATTTTAAAAAATCTTTTCACTTAGAGATTTCTTAAAGCATCTCTACTCGGAATACTTTTAGAATCCCATCATTGAATTAAATTTCTTTTCTTCCTATTTTTATTACTTATATTTTTAATTTATTAATTAATTTTTATTTATTATTTAAAAAAAAAGAAAATCTTTACTGTATTGAAAATTTTTTATAAATACTCCAATACGCTGGTAGTACTTAAAAAAATCTTCTCACCTAGAAATTTCGTAGGCATCACTACTCGGAATACCTTTAATCTCATCATCGGATAAAAATTTCATTTTCTCTTATTTTTTATTAGTTATATTTTAATTTATTAATCAATTTTTATTTATTATTTTAAAAAAATATATTTACTGTATTGAAAATTTTTTATAAATACTCCAATACGCTGGTAGTACTTAAAAAATTTTCTCACCTAGAGATTTCATAGGCATCACTACTCGGAATACCTTTGAATCTCATCATCGGATAAAAATTTCCTTTTCTCTTATTTTTTATTAGTTTAGTATTATTATTAAATTTATTTTTATATTATTGTTTTTAAAGTTTATTAACATAATTACATAAAAAAAATTTAATCACAATTTCATCATTTAATCTAACAAATATAAATATTTTAACATACATAAATATTAATAAAATAATATATAAAAAATAAGAAACTTCTTTTTTCCTTTGAGTTTATGTGTTGATTTTATAAAGTTTCAATTAGGTGGGATTTGATTGGCTGTAGAGTAGTTAGTTGGTGGCTGTAAGGTGGCTGGAGGGTAGCTGGTCGGGAGGCTGATCAGGTAGTTGGTCGGGGGTTAGTTGGACCAATTCGGCATCGTACCAACCCTTTGACTTCTGTCTTATTTGCCTTTTTTAATTGTTTGCTTTTTTTTGTTTTTTTCTGTTTTGTTTATTAATAATAATTTCTTTATTAAAAATATTATTATTAAAAATAAAAATGATAGACCCGGACAAAATCAGTGTCTACAATATATATAAGTTTGATAAATAAATACTAAGGTCTAGCTCATGCTCATGTAATTTACTTGCTCTTCGATATATCATCTATTTATATTATATTATAAGATTTTTTTATATTTAATTTTATCAATATTCTATTAAAGAATAAAATATTATAAATAAAAAATAATTTTATAATATTCACCCAACACAAACGTCTGGTTATGCCACTTATCGTAGGCTGTGTAACATTTAACATGACCTATTTCAAAATTGGTGTTCTTTGGAGAATAAGTCAAGTCAGATGACCAAAAGTTAAAACCATAGAAAAATAGCTCATATTGAAAAATCAGCATTACTGATCAAAGGAGAAAGGAGCTTAAGGAAAAATAATTTTGCTTGCAAGTCCTTCCATGTCCTGCAATGCAAACTCAAGAGAATTGAAAAGTTCAGACATGGGAACAAGTATTAGCAACTCATTTTTATTACCTCTGCTTTTACTATCTTCATTTTACCCACAGTTTGGGGCTAGCTTAGACACTATCACATCATCCAAATCCATCAAAGATCCTGAATATGTAGTCTCCAATGGTGGAAATTTTCGATTGGGATTCTTCAGCCCCGATAATTCTACTGATCGCTATGTAGGGATATGGTACAATCGAATTCCTGTACAAACTGTGATATGGGTAGCAAACAGAAACAAGCCTATAAAAGACTCCTCTGGAGTTTTAACCGTGTCTGAGGATGGCAATCTTGTTGTTTTGAATGGACAGGAGGAGATTCTTTGGTCATCAAATGTTACAAATCCAGTTGGTAATTCAAGTGCACAGCTTTTGGACTCCGGAAACCTTATCTTGTGGAATAATGCCTCTACAACAAGCATGTGGGAGAGTTTTCAACAACCTTCTGATGCGTTCGTGCCGACCATGAAACTCAGTGTTGATGAAAGAACAGGTGAGAAAGTGCAACTGACATCCTGGAAAAGCCCTTCTGATCCATCTGATGGTAATTTCTTAGCTGGTATCAATCGTCTCAACATTCCTGAAGCCTTCATTTGGAATAGCAATCAGCCGTATTGGCGGAGTGGTCCATGGAATAGTCGGACCTTTATTGGAATACCAAAAATGTCTTCTATTTATCTAAATGGATTTAATCTTGTAGATGACCGAGTAACATCTTATCTTACTTATGCTTTTGCCAATGCGTCTTATTTATCATACTTTGCATTGGATTCTCAAGGGAAATTAATGGAACTATATTGGGATAATGGGAAGGGGAATTGGGTCGTAAACTGGTCTAATTTAGAAACTGATTGTGATGTTTATGGCAAGTGTGGAGCGTTTGGAAGCTGTGATTCACAGAAACCATCAATTTGCAGTTGTTTGAGAGGGTTTGAGCCCAAGATTAAAGAGGAATGGGGCAGCAAGAATTGGACTAGTGGATGTGTTAGGAGTACACCATTACAGTGTGAAAAAGTAAACAATGGCAGTAAAGTAGGCAAAATAGATGGATTTCTGAAGCTACAGATGATGAAAGTACCAGCCTTTCCAGAGTGGTCATCTGCCCGTGAAGATGAATGCGGAGGTCAGTGCTTGAATAATTGTTACTGTGTGGCTTATGCATATGATGCGGGCATTGGTTGCATGTTATGGAGCGGAAATTTAACTGACATACAGCAATTCTCCAATGGGGGAATAGATCTTTACATTCGTGTGGCATCCTCTGAACTTGGTAAATTGTTTTAATTTCTACTGATGTATGTTCAATTGTTCCAATTATCTACTTTTACTGCTGCAGATTTGCTCTATTCTGTTTTGACTATATAGATAAAGCTAATTACTCACTGATTTTAATTTGTAGATAAAACAAAACACAACAGTATAGTTATTATTGTAATACCAGTGATCCTGGGAATAATCATCATAATCATCTCTACATTGTTCTTTTGGAGGTGGATGGCTAAACAAAGAGGTAATACCAATATGGTTTATTGGGCAATCAACACAGTTTCTGTAGCAATGTTAGTAACTATCAATACATTACTTTCTACAATTTTTTTTTATCAGCAAAGATGCAAAAAAGCAAAGAAACGCTGCTAGTCCATGGAGAAAAAGCGCACACAAAATTTTCTAGTCGCTTTGAAGACAATTTTGATGAAGTTAAACTCCAGCAGCTACCACTACTCAAATTTGAGGAACTAGCAACTGCAACAAGCAGTTTTCATCTCACCAAAAAGTTGGGACAGGGTGGTTTTGGTCCAGTATACAGGGTAATTGGCCATTTTCAGCAAATCCTAATAGTCCATCAGATGACATTACTACAAACTACTGATTCTTTTGTTTGTATAGGGAACATTACAAGATGGAAAGGAAATAGCAGTGAAGAGATTGTCAAGAGCCTCAGGCCAAGGGTTAGAAGAATTTATGAATGAAGTGACGCTGATTTCTAAACTCCAACATCGAAATCTTGTTAGATTACTGGGCTGTTGTGTTGAAGGAGAAGAGAAGATGCTGGTATACGAGTATATGCCGAACAAAAGCTTGGATGCTTTTCTCTTTGGTTAGATCATGCTAATACCTTTTCTATCGTTTTCCTAAGAACCAATGCATGCATTATATCATTTCCAATATAATTTGGTTATACCATCCAAATTAACTTTAATCAGAATGCGTTGTAATATCATGAAAATGGAAAATGGGAAAGAAAGAAAGAAAGAAAGAAAGAAAAAACAGAGGAGTTACAGTAGAAAACACACTGCATTCATTCATTTTTCTGCTCTATATACAAAATACATCAGGTGCAGAGTATTCAAGACGTATCTCCGTGCAATAAGGACAATTTCTACTTTATAACTAAACTTACTAACCAAAGATACAGTTGACAGATTATAAAAAGAAATATTGTCCCTTGTTCAGACTTTAGAGTATCTGAAATTATCTCATAATCTAACAAAATCTTAAAGGAACAAAGTAACTGCAATCTTTTTTCCCTTATAATTTTGTAATTTGAGACATAACTTTGTTATGGCATTAACTTGTTTTATCAACATTAACTGTAAATTTGTTAACCAAGTTTCTAGTTTTTTTTTGTTTTTTTGTTGGTCAAAACCATGTTTCTAGTTTCATTGATCTCACACTGTTCATTTTTTCTTTTTCTGATACATGAGATAGATCCAGTCCAGAAAGGAATTCTAAATTGGAGAAAACGCTTCAACATTATTGAAGGAATTAGTCGAGGTCTCCTTTATCTTCATAGAGATTCTAGATTGAAGATTATTCATAGAGATCTAAAGGCTAGTAACATCTTATTAGATAAAGAGCTAAATCCAAAAATCTCGGATTTTGGGATGGCTAGGATTTTTGGAGGAGATAAAAATCAAGCCAAAACTACAAGGGTTGTAGGAACCTAGTAAGTAGATTTCTCTTTCACCATATACATTATGCTACAATGCTACCATATCTATGCATGTGCTTAAGAATATGTGCTTCTGTTTTGATGTTCAAATGCAGCGGATACATGTCGCCTGAATATGCAATGCAAGGGAGATTTTCAGAAAAATCTGATGTGTTCAGCTATGGAGTCTTGCTATTGGAGATAGTCAGTGGGAGAAAAAACGCAGGCTTTTATGACGATGAACATTCTATTAGCCTTTTGGGATATGTAAGTTTACTTGACAAACAGCCTTACTTATGATTCCATTATATAAGATATAATTTTCATTAATATTTGGTGATTCCTTTATCAAGCTAAAATTTGCAATCATTATTTAGGTATGGAAGTTATGGAATGAAGACAACATATTGGCCTTAATAGACCCAGTGCTTTCTGATCCATGCAATCAGAGTGAAATTTTGAGATGCATACATGTGGGATTGTTGTGTGTACAAGAATTTGCAGAAGATAGACCAACTGTATCTACTGTTATTTCGATGCTTAATAGTGAGATTGCTGATCTTCCAACTCCGAAACAGCCTGCTTTCACCGGACGACCGATTGCATCAGGAACAATATCCCCTCAAAGCGATCCAAACCAATGTTCTATTAACAAGGTGACCATAACCATTGTTGATGGCCGATGATTAGAAGCAAGTTTTTGAGATATAGTGCATATGTATATATCTTAATTTTATGCTTGATCTGGCAGTTTCATAATTAGGTTATTAATACCTTTATACCTTTCAGGCTGTAGAAGTGTAGTCAGTGACAGTTTTTGACATATTTAGAGGAGGCCAACTAAGAATATATAATAGATTTTATTTTCTAAACTTATTAATATATATATATATATATATATGTATAGACAAACAATATACTAATAAAAACATGATAAGAGCATAAAATTATTAAACAAAAATATTATAATGATAATATTATACTTTTAATAATAACATGATTTACAATTAATTGTTGAATTACTAATTACACAATTTTTTTTTTGACAATTTAAGAGTAAAATAAAAAAGTATGAATAAATCAATCATTAAACACTTTATAAAAACAAAAAAAAAAAAAAACTAAATATACTTCTAAAAAAATGAAGATGAAAGTTTAAGATTAACAATGTGTTTGGATTGAAGGGGAGAGGAAGGAAATGAAAGTAAAGGAAACAAAATTTTATTTCCCTTGTTTTGATAAATATTTAATTTAAATAAAGGAAAAGAGGTGAAAACCAAATAACTTTTGGTTTTCTTTGTAAACTTAATTTTTTTAATATCTTAATTTGGAGAAAAAGCTAGGGAAAAGAAAATTGAAAAAAAAAATTTTATAAAAAGACTATTATGTCTATTTTTTTATTTATACTAAAAATCTAATAAAAAAACTTAAGCAGATCACAATTATTTTGTAATTTTTTCAAGGTCATTTTTTTTTTCAAGTAAGTTTCATATATATCTTCTAATATAAAATTTTTTATAATTTTTTGGTGATTTGATTTTGATGAATGGTTGAATATAAATATATATATATATATATATATTGAGTTTATGAGATATCAAATTAGCTCAAAATTCATCAATGCATATTTGTAAAATATCTTTTCATTTCACTTGATTAAAAATCATTGATATAATAGCAATTGTGAGGTCAGATAAAATAGCAAACATATTATGGTCTAAGAGTACTCTAAAATCACAGGCAATGAAATGTGATAATCGAAAAAAATTATTATAATGAATCATTTTCTTTCTTTTTCACTCTTTATCCAAATAATGGTTGTTAAAATTTTTTTCGTTTCCTTTCCTTTATTAATTTTAATTATTCAAATAAGGGTTACATGTATCATTTCCTTTCCTTTAAAAATTTTTTTTATTTCTTTTTATTTTTTTCTTTTATTAATATTTATCCAAACATAGCGTAAAAGTTTGGTGTTTTTCTATCCTTTTGTAAAGTAGTTCAATATGATCTTTTTGTTGAAAAAAAAACTACAACATGTGATATAGATCTAAAGTTATAAAAATAAAAATAAAAAATATACGAAGAAAAAGAGATATTAACAAATATAAATGTGAGAATTTACAAATAATAATTGTCAGATATAATAAATAAATAAATAAATATAAAAGTGATTTGAACATTCCTTAAATTACAATGCATAAATTTAATTTATAAAATACAAAAAATAATAAAATTAACATTTTTTGTTAGAGGGTCAATTTAAATGTATTTAATACAAATATATATAAATATATATACACACACTAAAGGAGGTTTCAAACATTGGGGACAAGGCCCCCTCTGGTTTTCATTATGATCCACCATTGAGTGTAGTGATCTTTGCTCCATGGTTAGGCAAAAAGCTCAAAATTTATGCCAAGTGCCAACTAATGGCCAATGTAATTTTGAATTCTTTATAGTGAGATTGTTAACCTTCCTGTTCTAATAGAGATATAAATATTGTCTTGCAGGATAGAAACACTGCAGAGAGAATGTAGGCAAGCTTTTCTATAACAACTATTACACGGGTGACTTCTTTTACCTTTTCCGCTTGGTATTTTTTACCACCATTTATTTTTACTACTAGGACTTTTCAAATGCCAAACAACAGATATTGATGGAATTTTTATACACTGTTTTTGGCAATAAACTCTCAAAAACCCAATTATATAAGCCACCAATGAATCATGGGAATTGACAACAATCCTTCATTTCGGCTGCAAGATTGCAAAGAGGGAAACAAAGTACATTGATATTTTCAAATGTCAATGACAGCATTTTTTTTTTAAATGATTGAATGTTCATTATGTTAGAAATATGACTCAAATCTTCTAAAAGATTTGTTTGTGATTAATTAGATATTTTTAGTGAAAAAAAATTTATAAAAGAAGAATTTTAATAAAAAAATGATTTTTAATAAGTAAGTTTAACTTGCAGAAAAAGAATTCTAAAAAGAAAGAGATTCTTAATAAATAAGTTAGTATGCTTATAAATAGGTGAAGTCTTTATAGGAGTTAAGTATGAAAAAAAAATGTAAAAAAGTTATAGGATTTTATGAGATAGATATTTTATAGGACTACAGAACATTTATGTCATATGAATGTGTATGTTTGAATATTTGTGAGTGGATTGAAGGAGATTGAGATGGTCCACATAGGTATGGTGCATGGGTGCATATGAGTATGTTTGTTTGGGGTTGAGAATACTTCATAGAATTAGAGGAGATTGAGAGGGTTTATGGGTATTGATTGTTGAATGGTTAATATGATTGGATGTATGTTTGTAATGCTTTATAACTAGTGAATCTTTTTTTTTATCTGTGAACGTAAGTCGATTGAACCGAATCATGTTAAATTTTTATCTCTTGTGTGATTGATTAATTATTTGATTCGCTTTCGTTGGTATGATGGGATTGGGACTATTTGGCCCAACAAGTGGTATCAAAATTAAAGATTCGAAACATGAGAAGAGCTGAAGGTTCGAGACATGTGAAGAGCTGAAGGTTCGAGCCATGAAAATAGGCAAGTTTAAAGGAGCTTGATTCAAGAGAAGAATTCGAGTTCAAGTGTTGATGATTGAGGATCGATTTGCGTAAAGCATAAAGATACATAAAAAAAATGATTGTGAGACTTTTCATTGCAGGTGAGAGTCAAGTATGTCTAGCACGAATACATATGATTTGATGAAATTTGAGTTAAAGTGGAGATTATTAGGAATAGTGACTCAAATCCCATAAGAGATTTGTTTGTGATTAGTTAGATATTACTTAATAGACAAGAAGACTTACCAAAAAAAAGAATTCTAATAGGAAAAAGATTTTTAATATACAAGTTTGACTTACATAAAAAGAATTCTAAGAAGAAAGAGATTCTTAATAAGTAAGTTAGTATGCTTATAAATATGTGAAGTCTCTATAAGATTAGCTATGAGAAAAAGACGTAAGAGAGTTATAAGGTTTTATAAGATAGATAATCATAGGACTACTACAGATTTACGTTGGGTGTTTATCCCATAAAATTTTACAACTCTCTAGGTATGTATATTTGAATATTTGTGAATGGATTAGAGGAGACTAAAAAAGTTTACATAGATATGATGTATGGGTGCTTATGGGTATATATTTATTTAAGTTGAAAATATTTCACAAAATTAGAGGAGATTGAGAAGGTCCATGGATATTAATTGTTAAGTGATTTATATGATTTGATATATGTTTGTAATTTTTTATAATTAGTTAATTATTTTTTTTATTCGTGGACGTAAATTAATTAAATTGAATCAAATTAAATTACTATTATTATTATTAATTAATTATTTAATTCGCTTATGCTGATGTGATGAGATTTGGGCTATTTGGCTCACACATTCGGCTAGGCAACTATAAATTCTTGCAGTTAATTCTTAATAACTGATCTTCCACCAATAGCAGACAAAAAAAGAATGCAGAAGTTGCTGACCAACAATGTCAATTTTTTTATCCATAGTTTGCAATAGATGGACACTTTTCTTTGAAATCGGATGTCTTCAGATTTGGCCTTTGGTATCATGTTGGAGATGGTGAGTGGAAAGAAGAATCGGGGTTATTTTCATCCTGACGACAAACTCAACCTTCTTGGGCATGTAAGTATAGACCGTGTAATCAATTCTCATCTGTTCATTTTCTGTAGACATACTCTAACTTAACAAGGACTTTGGTTAGGCCCGGAAATTGTGGAATGATAAGAAAGCCTTGGAATTAATGGATGAATTGATGGAACAAGAGTTTCCAAAACATGAAGCGCTAGGATGCATATAGGTGGGGCTCATTTGTGTTCGGCAGAGGCCAGACGACATGCCAGTGATGCAAACTGTGCTATTGATGTGGGATTGTCATTACCTCAGCCTGGAAGACCTGGGTTTTATGCAGAAAGTGTCTTTCAGTGACAGATGCATCATCTGTTGGGAAACTAATTTCGAATAAGGTGACGTTACGGAGTTGCATGCTTACCTTAGTGAGGTTCGTTAGAATCCCAATGACATTTCATTTTTGTATCATCAATGCGAAACCAAAATGGGCTTTTGCCTTGGCCCAAGAATCCCATCTTAACAAACCCAGTTTAATCCAAAGTTTGGGCTCTGGGTCCACTCCGGAATCCAAGACTCAATTTGTTATATTGTACTACACCCGAAATAATATGTGGAAACCATTTTACATCAATTGAAAAAATGATTCCAAACTTGAAATATCACCTATTTGCAGATTAGGGATAATTTTCGATTACTAGTACTAACTTATGTCACAAATAGTCTTCAAATGAATTAACCAAATTTAACTATCATCAATAGGATGAAAATTCCTCAGAGCTGATTGGTTTAATTGCTTTGATTTGAGTAAATTGAAAGCCATTGGGTTTTATTTGGTTTTACAATTTCCTTCGTGCATGGTTGGCTAACTAATATTAGCCAGATAGGTGCTCATGATAAGCAAAAAGATTGACATCAAAACTGGGCCTTGTCTGTCTTTTCATTTTTGGTGGTCCAAAATTTCCCCGGAAAGTAAGGATTTCAGACTTTAGGTGCTTTGGTTTTTTATAGTCCTAGCAAGTAAAGTTCTAAGGAGGATCCTCTTATTAATGAGGTTCCAAATGCCCCAGCAAATTGAAAAGCCTTTCTTCCAGACTCCCTAATCATACTGAACCAATCATGAATCCTGTTGAATGGCTTGTCAGAGCATTTTTTCTTTTCTTTCTTTCTCACCTCTCCATTTCTGCTGACACCATTACAATAGATCATTTCATCAAAGATGGTGATG